CTTTCTCTTGCTTCTGAGCCATTCCCTCTGCCTATTCCAATGCTTCGTTCCACTCTCTTTAACTAACTCCTATTCAACATGTTTAATCTCAAGATTCATTCATAAATTCAACAAATATTTATTAAGCACCTACTATGTCCAAAGCACTGCTCTTGATGCTGTGGATACATCAGGGAACAAAACAAACCAGAACTCAGCCATGTGTTCTCCTAACATGTCTTGTGATTACCAGCATGCTCATCTTTATCCCCACTGGACTGTCCACTCCCTGGGAGTGAGGACCATGCCTTTCTTAAAAATGCAGCACCAAGCAAAAGTCTGGCACAAAATAGGGGCTCAATAAACACTTGACAAATAAAATTAAGAAGAAATGAGAATACATAGAAAGGGTAAAGGGACCAAGCCTTGGTGGTGTTATTAGACCACTAATGACAACAGTAGCTTAATAAGAGAATATTCAGGCTACAACCAATTGAACCCTAGAAACCTTTCTGGTATTCACTATGGACCTTATTCTTAAAACTCACAAGAAAAAAGAGAATTATATATCTGTTTGAGTCTTGGTACAAGTTTACATTTCTCCTGAATATTCATCCTTTTACCAAAAGGGGAGAATTTTTTAAAGATGTTTTTAAGGAAACTAGTAGGGCAGAAGAGAAAAAGGAATAGGACAGTCTGAAAGGAGCTGAGGTATAGACTGATTGCTTTTCCCAGGGATGTTGAAAAGACTAGGCAAGAGGGTGGCACTTGTGAAAGAGGAGCATGAAAAGAGTGTCATGGAAAGGGAAGAAAACCTAAAGGCAGGTAGAAAAAAAACAGTTAAAAAAAAGAAGCACTAAGGAGGAACGACATTGACAGTTAAGGAACATGAAAACAGCAGAAACAAGAAAAGTAGTAAATGTGATTATAGGTTACAATAATATTGCTTTATTTGATTTATTCAGTAGCTCTGTGAGGGCTGTAGAGAGACATTATTCTTCCCATTTCATAGATAGGGAAACGAGGGCACAGAGACTTGCCTAATTACATGGCTGGTCATTGAGGTTCTCTGATTTATAATCTAAGAATTTTTCCACCTAGAAAAGGGGAAGATAAGGTCAAAAATCAAAGGTAAGAAGTAAGAATGAAGAGCAAGTGGTGCTCAATAAATGCTTGTTGAATGAATGGGAAACGTGTAGAACAAAGACTGGAGATGTAAATTTCAATTTCAATGGAGAGTATTTCTCTGGACTCCCTAAGCATTTCCAAGACATTGGCTCCTGACATCCACAGATATTATTGTGGTGTGATGTCTCTAAGTGGAAAAAAATCACTATTTTTAGTTTATGAATTAAGAGATTAATGCATAGTAAGTCAATTACTATGTAGAGCGCAGTATCAGGGTGGAGGCAGGAAACAGATGGCACTCTCACAGAGCAAAGAGCATCGAATGTAGGGACTATTGACAGCGGTGAAGGGATGGAGAATAACCCAGAGACTGTCCACAGTGGGAAGTGATCTCTGTGCCTAGGCCCCAGGGGCGAGGAGAGGGAGCACAGACCCCAGTGCGCACTGCAGCCCCCCGGGAGGGTGCGTGAGGGTTGCTGGATAGGAGTTGAGTCTCTGAGAGAAGAATGCAGCCGTGGTGGACATGAACAAGGACAAGATAAAGGGAAGAGAAGAGAGACTGGACTACTTCTACAAAATGTAAAAATGGAGGAAAAAGCAGTTTTCTAAAGATGTGGGAATTTAGGAAATAGAGATATATATAGTTTGTTTATCTTTTCCAGCTGTGTCCATTCATTCTGCAACAGTGTGGTGAGTCTACTACATGGCAGGCATTCAGAAACCTTGCAGTTAATGTGACAATAGCACAAAACCCCTGCCCTAAAGAAACCACAGTCTACTGGATGAAACATGCAAGTGAACAACAACAACAACAAATAAAATAAGGTAATGTTATAAAAGAGGTACATACACAATTTCATGGTGCAAAGATGGCAAGCGCTACTCTTGGGAGGATTGGAGAGGATTTGCAAATGAGGATATCTCAGCTGCATTTTAAAATAGCAGTTTTCCAAGTAGGCCAGGGAAAGGAAGGCATTTCAAGTTAAAGGGGTGGCTTGGGCATAAGGGCCTGGTGACTGTGGGAACTACAGTAATTCAGCAAGGCTTGAGTTTGGGGCGGGGAATAGTATTATGCTCAAGACCATTCACTTTATTCTAAAGCGCCATTGGAGATTTCAAAGCAAGAAAACGATGTGATTAGATTTATATATTAGTAAGACCAGTATTGAAGTATCATTTCCAATTTAAGGACTGGAAGGTGTTGGGAGGGCAAGAATAGTCAAGCATAAATTTATTGCCACTAAATTTCTATCTTTTTGTCAGTCACATTTTCATGCTTATTGTATTTGCTTCATTAAAAACAAAAAGGCCACTTTATTCTGAGGTAAGAAGGAAAGGCCAGAGTGAGAGCTGGGATGCATTTTCACTCAGTGTCCCTGTCTGACACCTTGGAGCTGCACTGTAGGTGAAGGAGCTCTCCTGCTCAGGCACTGACCTGGGTGGGACCTTGGCCACCGGGCCACATTCAGGGGATTTCCCTTCTGTTTTCCTTCCGGATGGGGCCAGCCCACTGCCACACACCAAGGAAAGAGAGAAAGGAAGGAAGCTTCAACCCTTACCCAGTGCAATAGTGAGAAACAGAGCTGGGAATCTGAGAGGCAAACCAGAACCTTCTGCTTCTCTCCATTATTCCTGACAACAGATGGAAAAGAGGCAAACCCTCACCTCTTGTGGTTGCCGCTGATACTCAACTGGGAATCTCATTCTCAGTAGCTGCAGATCTCCCTAATCACTCATCTTAACTTAACTTGACACTGGGTTCTATTGCCTTTCATGAGAAAAGTCTTGGGAGGCTGTAAACCTGTGTGGCTGGGAAAAGAACGTGCTGCATGAAATGGGGACAGAGAGGAGCTACAGATTGCCAACTTTCACAGCTTGTCTGCTGTGGAGACCATGCTGCAGAGTGCTCTTGAAATCATCTGGGTGGGCCTTGTTTCTGAGGAAATAAAGAGGCCCTGGAACCTCCCCAGCGAGTGAAAGAATGATTTCCAGATACTCCAGTGGAGTGGCCTCCTGGCGGCCTGAGCTGGACGTGCTTGGCAGTGTTTCCATCCGGCTGGCCAGTGTCCTGAGGTTAGCGAAGCAGAAGGAGAAGCTTAGGGGAGCTCAAAGACATGCACGTGCCAGTATTTTTGATAAATGCTCAGTTAATTGTTTTCTATGATTCTTCTCCTGAGACACATACTGTGCACACCAGGCACCAAGAACTATCCCCTCCCATCACCCCAGATCCCAGGGGGAACTCCATAATGACATATATTTGGGCCAAGCATCTACCCCACAGGAAATGGATGGATCAGCCCCTGGAGATGAAAGAATGATGCAGGGCATGGGAAAGCAGAGAAATATCCTGAGTGAGAAAGAAAGAAAATCCACACAAGCAAAGCTGGAGAGTTTATATATTTAATACCGATAAGAGAAACTCAGAATTTCTTATAAAGATACTAAGAAATGGTGGTCAGAAGAGGCCTGGGTAACTTGATGAGAAATCTGTATTGTTCTATATCTGGTAAATAATTTAGTATTTGGAACCCTCGACCTTCCAGGATGGAGTTCAATTTTGGATTACTTACTGGAAATAGTGGCATATATGTTAGGTTCCAAAACAGATTATGCATATGTAGAAGTGAAACAGGGGTCTAAACTCTAACGTCCATGACCTTCATGAATGTTTTCTGAGACAGCCCTTTTACAATTTTGCCTTTTTTTTGGTGTAGGGGGGGCTATAGCTTTCTCTAGTTATATTTAGTTCCTGCCATTTATTCATCAAATATTTGCAGTTGTGCAGTGTGTAGGATGCTTATGTACTCTACTCTTGTTGAGTTAGAAAGGTTTAGAAGATGTAGCTTTCTGCACGAATGCTAATTGCATCAGAATCTGCAACACGGCAGTATTGCTTATCAGAGCGGCAGACTGGAAGGGTAAAGAGCCATCGGTCTGCCACTAACACTGCCGTAGACATGGCTTCCATGGAAGGTAACTCTCTTTCAATTCACGGGATTTTTGTCAAAGGTTTTGAATCAAGAAATTTATGCACTAGATATAAAATTTAACCTCTCTCTACATTTTTAAAGTCATTCTT